CCCAAAAAAGGGGGGGCCCCCAAAAACAAAAAAAAAAAAAAAAAAAAAAAAAAAAAAAAAAAAAAAAAGTTATTTGACCTTTCTCTTGCAGCGTGGATATGTTATTCACTTGAAATAGAGTTGATTTCATTTGGTTTTGTTTGTGTTCAGTTTAGATTTCTTTTTCTACCCTAGCTCTGTCTTTAGAGTAACATACTTCCAAAGGTCAAGGAGCAATACTGTGTATTCAGAGAGATGTACATCTCCCTCCCTCATCTTTTCTACCCTGGGTTCCTCCCTGCCCTAGGTGATCAATTTCATTATTTCTGGGTTTTCTTTCCACTTTGCATTAAATTCTCCTTCCTTCTATAAAAAGGCCTACCATATATACTCTTTTTCACTTTGCTATAGATATAATGTTGACAGGGTCATGTTTTTCTTAAGGTATACGGGAACCACGGTAAAAGTTAGCTATTAGTCTTATAGATGTTGAGAGTGTACTGAGCTGTGCGTTGGTTTCTAACTGTGGGTACACATTGGAGTCACCTGGAGAGTTTAAAAAATATTTTGATGCTTAACAAATTGCTGATGTCTGGGTAGCATTACCTGAGATTGATTTAATTGCTCTGATATGGGGCCTGGGTTTGGAAGTTTAACGAACTCCCCAGGTGATTTTAATCGACAGCCAGCATTGAGCCACTGATGAAGTGGTTAAGAAACAGGTTTCATCAGAAACATATCTGGGTTCAAATTTGGCTCTAGTACTTCTGATGATTTCCTACCCCATTTAGTACAAGAACTTGCCTTTGAAAAAATGATGAAGAAAAGCTGTTTAAAAGAAGTTTAATTTGGTGGAAACTCCCCAGAGGTCAATTAGCCATATGCATCAATAGCCTTAAATTTTTGCTATCCTCCTTGACGCAGCAATTGCACTTCTATGAAATTATCCGAAGAAAATAATTGTACAGAGAATAGATGTGCACAAATATTTATTTACAATGGTAACATTATTCATAATGATATCAAAAAAGGAAGGAAGACAATTTTCTAAATGTTATACTATGTCCTGTCTATTCAGTGGAATATATTATAGTGCATTCCATAAAAATGAAGAATACATATTATAATATAGAATCGCTACTGTTATATAGCAAGTTTAAAAAAAATGATTACAAAACATTCCTTAGAGCAAGGCCTTATTCTCCGACTGAAAACACATACCAGTATTTTCTTGATTTAGCTTTTTTTGCCCCTGCTTTATTTTTTGCGTATTTCTTTTTTTGCATTCTTTTTTAAAAATTTTCTATAACCAAGATTCTACTTTGTATTTTTAAGAAGTCAAAATACTAGAAAATTTGCTTGTAAGCCTTTTCCCTCCCACTTTTCCCACCTAATATTTTTTAAATTGGAAGATTCCTGTCCGCTTTCTATTGCGCACCATGAGTTTAGTACATATTACGTACACATATTGAAAGTCTCTGCCTGTCAATATAACTGCCGCATTATTTTTAGGAATGGGTAGGAGAACATTGCTTAAAAGAACCTGAAAGATTATGCACAGACAAAGAACTTATTTTGGACCCTGTGCTCTCAAATATGCAAGCACAGAAATTATTGCAGCTGATCTGTTATCCTCATGGCATTAAAGAATGCACAGAGGGGGACAACCTACAAAGACAGCACATTAAACGCATTCTTCAGGTGAGTGATAATAGTGTAAAGACTGTGTTTTTGTCATTTGACACATTCTTTGTGTTTATAGCAAGAGTTACTGTGCCTCTTTTTCGTTGCTGTTGTCATTACTAAGTAATTCTTAACTTCAATTAATTCTACTTTCGGGATTTGAAAAATTGGGATTTTTATTCCCCCAATTTTCTGTTTTGTGTAATTGCCACACTTTATTGCTGGGTAGTACAGATACTGCAAATTGTGTATAACGATTATATAAATATTGATATGTTAAGTCAGTACTGTGTTTACATGAGAAATAAGCTTTGTAGAGGGATTGTCTTAAGTATCTTATTAAAAAAATATCGAAATCATTTTTTCATGTGGTTGGTTAGATAGATTTTGGGAGAAGAAATGTTTGTCTTATTCATTTACAATGCCTAGCAGAGTAAGGCACATTATTTTAACGTTCCTATTTATTTCTTTGTGTCTATAATGAGCATATGTAATAGACTTGGAAGGCTTCTGATTCATATAAATCCCTTTATTGTGTGTGATCATTCCTCTGTTTCTTGAGAAAGAGAATAGTGCAAGGAATTACTATATTTTAAAACACGTTCAATATTCTTAATGTGTTAACTCCATTTTCCCCAGAATCTTGAGCAGTGGACCCTGAGGCAGTCCTGGCTGGAACTTCAGTTAATGATCAAACAGTGCTTGAAGGACCCTGTGAGTACATAATTGAAAGCGTGTATGTGTATAAAATTTTATGAAAAGCAAAACCACGTTGGTGTTTGAGGATAAAGTAAAACACATGCGTGCTGGTTTTCTCACGTCTAACTCCAGGGCTCTGGTTCGGTGGCTGAAATGAACAACCTACTGGACAATATTGCCAAGGCAACAATAGAGGTATTCCAGCAGTCGGCCGACCTGAACAATAACTCTTCTAATTCGGGTATGGGCCTCTTCAACCCAAACGGGATTGGAAGTACCGATACGAGTAGCACAAGACAGAATGGGATAAAGACATTTCTAAGGTATTTTTTTCTGTAGTTTTATGAGGCTATCATTAATTTTTCACATGTAACCGTACATTTTATTCTCATAATGCAGTTATTTTTTTCATAAAGCTGCAGGATTCTGAAGAAAATAATTACTTGTAAGTGTCCATTATCATTATTTAATATGTTAAAGGGCCATGCTGCTGGGGTGGGTGATATCTTAGTGTTCTAAATATTAGGTTGAGCAGGCCCCGACTCCTTGGAACCTCAGATGACATTCAGGACAGAAGAATTTCTCTAGTGTGCCCTGAGGCTGCTCTATTCCATGGTATTCCTAATATGTTTATTCCTAATAAAC